TGGTCCTCCCTTCCTGGCACTTTGTGTGGCCCAAGGCCACCACCTTGCCCCCCACCCCCCGGCCCCCAAGAGTCTCCTGGGTCCTGAGAGGCCCATGCTAGGAGGAGGCAGACTTCACAGGGTGGCTGGGGACCCCCTGGTCAGCTGGCTACAGATGCCCCAGGAGGCAGCAGGGATGTCCGTGGATTGCAGGGGCCTGCACGAGTGGGGCCTTAAAGGCCGTGCGGCCCCTGGCTCAGGACCCAGGTGAGTAGAGGGCACAGGGCTGGCTCCCCAGCCTGCCTCCTGCAGCCACCAAGAACCTAGACACCCCACCTGCACTCTGGCTTCCCACTTCCTGTGTGCATCTCCACCCCGAGAACATGGTGGAGTGCCCCCTTCACCTGGAGGGTCGAGACTGCTATGTGCGGCCAAGCCCCACCAGTTCTGCCTGTCCACAGGGCTCACCTGCACAGCAGGGTTGTGGGCAGCTCCCCACACGCTCCCACTGCCACCCAGTCTCCAGGACTCTCCCCGTAGTGGTGCTTGCCTGGCTGTTTGCTTCTAGGGGACACAGCTGGGGGAAGTTACTCTCTGGGCATGCGTTCTGCTCCAGGCCACGGAAGGCTGGACCTGCATGACTGGAATGGAACCAAGGAGAAGAGTGGAGGGCATTCTCCTTGGTATGGGTCCCCCCACGTGGTCTTTGACCTGGGATCCCCTAGGGACAGCAATGACCGCGACTCCCGCTCGTCGAACTGATTGACTCAACACGTATTTATGGAGGCCTACGTATCGGCCCCAGCAAACAGCGAGCATTCGGGAGTCCTGAAGGCTAGGCCGGACCCTAGACCAGGGTGCAGAATGCAGGGGAAAGTGCCCGGGGTCGGGGTGGGAAGGAGGAGGGTGCTCAGGCTCAGCGAGGGAGGAGCTCTTTTACAGTGGCAGCTGGAATGAGGCGGTTTGAGTTGAGCCCCGACATCAGTACCTGCGAAAGTGTACTGGACCCCACGGAGAGCACTGGGTCTAGCCCATTCTTTGGGTCCCGGATCCACCTGCCACATACCACATCCAGTCCCGAGGTACACAGTGACCAGAACTGAACCTTTGCCCACACAGGGCTAGAGTCCAGCTTCCCACCTGTACATGGGACTACAAGCTCCAGGAGGATCCCGTGAGCAGGGGCGCTCTCTGGAAGGGGCCATGCGGGGAGGCGCCCATGGCAAGTCTGGGTGCAGCCCAGCCTCTGCCCTGTGCCCGTGTCCCACGGCGGAGCTGGAGCAGACCCTGGCTGCCGTGACCCACCACTACCTGGGGCTTCTGGCAGCAGTTCAGTCCTATAGCCCCCTCCTGGCAGCTGTCTGGCCCACACTAAGGGCCCTCCTGCCCAAGAGGGTGAAGGAGGCCCTGGTTCCAGAACACAGGCAGGCAGAAGACACACCCCTGCTGGGGCCTTGCAGGGAATGGGCCAAGTCCCTGCAACTCCAGAGTCCTCAGGAGAGCGGCTGTGCGCCAGCACCCAGCACCCAGCACCCTGCTCCTAGTCCACTGTTTCTGTGGGCCTCCAGTTCCTTTCTCCAGACTTCCCAAGTTTCTCTGTGACTACAGGGAGCCGACGGAAACACTGCCGTGCTGTGGGTTATTCTGGGCAAGGGAGGTGGGAATCCTGAACCAAGGTCAACCGCTCCCAGGACTGCAGACTCCTGGGTCGGTGTACCACCCAACCTGGGCCTGCTGGAGCAGATCGGTCTGCCAGCGAAAGTCCTCGAGAGCAGACACTCCTGCCTGTTGCTGACCAGCTGTGTCCAGGCAAGGCCCCTCCCACTCTGCACCTTCTCATCCAGTGAGGCTGGGTGGGCTGAGGGGCTCCCAGTTTGGATTAAAATCTTTTAATTCTTAGCTCCCTCTAAGGACAAATGCTAAATGCCCCTGCAGAGTCAAGTTGGCCAAGGATCTTTGGTCAGAAAAATCGTCACGTACAAAATCTGAGGGTGGATGATTCATTCACGGGCGGTGAAGGCTTCAGCTGGACAGTGTGGCCGCATCAGCACCAGGGCCTGCAGCGCTGGGTGACCACATCTCTCTGGGGGGTGACAGATGACCAAACTGGACCCTGTTTCCTGAGCCTAGACCAATGCAGGACAGCCACCCTAAGAGAACCCTGCACACTCAGGGGCTGGCTGCTGCCCAGGGCTCCCTCGACAGAGGACCACTCACAGCTGGGACTCCGGAAGCCCCCAGAGCGTTCTTTCCTGCCCTGGCCACCGTCTCCTAAGGGACTGTGCCAGGCCCCAGGTCTCTGCCTCCCTTGCTGCACATCCCTTTACTTGAAGCACAGCATGGACACTCCCGTGCCAAGTCCCTGCTACCGTGCAAACTCCACAAGCTATGAATCCCTAACACCCAGAGGCAAATGTGCTTTGCTGGGTGGAAGCAGCCCAGGAGGTTCAGAAGGGCATCTGGCGAAGGCCACTAATCCAGGGACCGGGTTGTTAGAATGGGAGGGCCCTGGCCAGGCAGAGGGAGCAGGGGTGGCCACTGGAGACCAGCCATGTGCACATGGAACCTGAAGGGTCAATAGAATAAGTTACTGGACACATCAGTGTAAGAGACAGAAAACCCCAGATGTGACCTTCAGTTCTGCCAACGTCATATAAAAAACCAAGGGGAAGGCCAGCCCCGTGGCCTTATGGCTAAGGGAACCAGATCCCACATAGACAACTGCAATTCAAATCCTAGCCCTGGACACTTGGAAAACATGCCAGGAACATATGTATGCATGCCCAAATTCTGATGGGATGGAGAAATGGAGAAAGGATTGCAGTATGGCCCCACCCCACTGCAGGGTGCCTTCTTTCTGCCTGGCAAGTGCAATGAATAAAAGGGGGTAGGTTGGGGCCCTCTCTCCTCTAAAAGCCTACAGTCCTCCTCCTGCTGGGCCTAGTTAGCCAACAAGACCTCATCTCGTGGGATGGAGAGACGACAGCCCCATGAACTCCTACGAGCAGAGCAGGTGGTAGCAGTTCCTGCCAGTCACCACAGAAGATTTAACAAGTAAAAACCTGCAAACTCTTTATTAAATTCTCCCATTTCATCTGTACAGAAAAAAAATGCACATTATGTTCAGAATCTCAGTAACATCTCAAAATTACACAGCATGAACATGTAAAAACAAAGAACTGCCAGGATTTTATACATAGAAAGGAAACCCATTTACAAAAGAGGCTTGTTAATTGTACTTTTCTATTTGGAAAAAAAAAAGAAAAAGAAAAAAAAAGTAAAAAAGAAAGAAAAGAAAGTTAAAGGCCTAAGATCTCACACAGCATTTGCTAGACAGTCTGTTTTCCCATGTGGACGGACTTGGGAACCTTGTCCTGGAGGTGCTCAGAGCCTGCCTGCTGCTCCCGTCCTGTCGGCCCCTCTCTCCAAGGCACTGCAACCTGCCCTGGGAACCTGCTCCAACATTGTGGCTCAGGGGCTGACAAGCCCTGCTGGCTCTGGGTTGATGTCAATTCCATGTTGGGGAAGGCAAACACCACTGGCTTCCTCACCCAGGCTCATTCTCTACTACAGAGCCCAGGGTCCTACCTGTGTGTCCTGCTGGCCTATGAGAAGAGGGGAAGCCACTGTCAGGATCCTGTCACCACCAGCCTGACAGCCCCGTCTTTGTGCTCCAGGTGACAGAGTCCCTGGGTCCCTACAGTGATCTTACCACAGAGCTTGGAGAATCTGTCCCCTTGAAGATTTAGCCTGGGTTTGCTAATGACTTATCTGGGCAGGAAAGGTGACTTGGCCACAAACTCGACTATCTAACATGTGACCCTGGTCCTGGTCCTCGTGAAGGGAGGGCTGAGGAGGAGTGTGGCTGGAGGAGTTGGTAAACCAAGACAGATGGGAGACAGGGCAGGCCAGAACACCAGGTGTGACCCTAGGCCCACTGGTGCAGGTGAATCAGAAGTGTCTCCAGGGACCAGCTGTTAACGTAATGGCTATGTCTCTGGACTCCCATGTAGTCAACTGCAGTTCGAGTCCCGGACCTGGTGGCTTAAACTCACACCAGGCGCGTGTGCATGCGTGCCCAAGATCCCGAGAGGAGAATGGAGAAGGGATTGCAGTGTGGCCATCCCCCCTGGGGGATGATTTCTTGCTTTCTGTCTCTCTGGCGAGCGCATGCGCCCTATAGCAAAAACCTTTCCAAAAAAAAGTGTCTCCAAAGGCCTGGGAAAAACTCATGACACTAAAATGCATTTCCTAAAACCACTGTGTGCTGCCTGAACAGTGGGAAATGAAAGGAGCATTCTGATTGCTGAGTTTTTTTTTTTTTTTTTTTTTTCAAATTCCTAAGAAGCTGAAATAGAAGTAACCTAATAAAACGCACAGGACTCATAAAGCCACGGGTTTTTCTTTTGGTTCAACTGTCAAAATTCATGTTGAACGTGCCAGGCTGAGTTGGCTGACTTCTAGTCCAGCTTCCACCTCCACAGCTTATTTAGAGTAAGTTACATGTGGAGAATTTATTTTTGTAAAAGGGAATGAACAGAAAGGAATGGACTTTCCGGGACCAGCAGATGGCATAATGGTTACATCACTGGACTCCTACACAGTGGACCACAGTTCAAGTCCTGGATCTGACGGCTTAAACTCGCACCAGGTGCATGTGTGTGCATGTCCAAAATCCTGAGAGGAGAATGGAGCTGGGATTGTGACCTGGCCATCCCCCTGGGGAGTGATTTCTCGCTTTCTGTCTCTCTCTGGTGAGCATACACACCCTGTAGCAAAAATCTCTCTTAAAAAAAAAGGAATTTGCCTTTCCTCAGAAGAACCTGAGGCCAGCTAAGGAAGGAGGCCCCATGGCACAACCTAACCCTCCCTGGATGCCCCTGTCCCGGAGAGATCTGTGGGACAGAGTTCGTACCATAAGCCTCATGTTGTGGGAAGGGAGAGATTTCCAGAAGCCACACTGATATGGAAGAGTGAATCCCTCTGGGAAGGTCAGGGAAGTTGCCAGTTCGTCTGCTAAAACATAAAAGCAGGTGTCTTCGTCACTGGATTCTTGTATTAGCTGACCTCAGGAAGTAAGGAGAAAGGAGAGTGGACGGCAACTTCCCACTGTACCTTCTGGGAAAGCAGTCTGTCTCTCAACCCTCCCACCCCACCCGCCTCACGCTGGCTGAGCCACTCCCCGCGCCCCAGCAGAGCAAACACCAGATGAGACAGAGGGTTCGAGTCAACACTGCTCGCTAAATACTAGTTCATCGGCAACCCCAGGAGGCCTCAGCTTCTCAGGATGCCTTGGCTCAGAACAAGCTGACCGGACCCATGGAACTGGGGCTGGGAGTCGCAGTCAGGGGGCCGCCAGGGAATGCAGAGGGCTTTCCCAGGAACAAACCCAAAGCTTGGTACGGCTGGCCCATCAGTGCGCTTGCCAGCAGACTTGTCTTGGGCGGCAGCAACAGTAGAGGGTCCAGGGGTGCAACAGAGGGACGGTCTCACCCGTGGCGCCCCCTTCCGTGGGAAGAGGCTGTCAGAGGGAGCAGGCTGCATGGATCTGTGCTCTCCTGTACTGGCTCCTCTGTCTTAGGAGCCCAGGGTCCTGGCATCCAGAGGATGGGGGACACTGCATCTGAGTCCCTGAGACACTAGCATGAGCTGGCAAGGTCAGATGACAGGGACCTGGCTGCTGTCATTTTCAGCAAGTGTCTCGGGCCGTGGCCTTGGCCAGACACCTGACTTGCTGATGACTCTTCTTACTGCAGTGGGCTAGACCCCAGGAGCAAGGTGCAGGCAAGTCTTTTGGCAGCTCCCACAGCTGGGTCATGATTCCATACTAGTTTTTGACTAGCTGATTTATACCCGCAACTGCCACTGCCGGGGAGGCCAGGAACCGGGGGTGCTCCAGAACCTGTTTCGTTATGCCAAATGAAGGACATGACGTGGCTGGGCTGCTGATCCAGACGATGCTGGCCCCACGGACAGATGAAGACTTGCCTAGGACCCTGCCCGGGACTCTCAAGAGCCCATCACAGGAAAGTACCTGAAGAATGGTCCAAGACTTGAAACGAGCAACCGAAGCTCCGGCCGGTAACCTTTCTATTCTGACCATTTCTAAAGATGACAAGTATTTCAAGAACCAAACTCTTCATCAAACTTCCAAATCTGCTGCAGAAAGCTCATGGGATTTTTCTCCATTCAGAAAGAACAGAAATCTGAGATGCACAGGGTGACGAGGACGTTTCTTACAGCCACCAGGAGGGAGACTGCAGAGACGGAGAACGGCACTCCTCACACGCCTGGTCCAAGGGCAAGCAGGACTCCTAACAGAGAAGTCCTACCAGACACGTCAGTCGGTCCTGCATTTAGAGGACATTCCCAGTCCTTAGGAACAAGTTTTGGCGGCCCCTTGCCCTGCCCCAGATGGGACTCTCTGGGCCAGCTCAGATCAGCCCAGAGGGGTGGAAGTAGGGGCGTGCTGCTCATACACCAAATGTTTCAAGTTTTGAGACTGAAGAATCCCAGGACACCTGCTGAGATCAGGCAGACCCGAGGAGCAAGGCTAAGGAAACCAAGCAGCATAGCAGCTTCCCTCGGTGCCCAGCACTCCTTGAGGAGCGGGTAACCGAGAGCTGCCTTCTAGAACCTACTGCCTCCAGGAAGGGAAGCAGAAAAGAAACAAAGAAAGGAAAGGAAGAAAACCACAGTATCCAAATCTACGTCAGTCGGGGTAGACGAGGAGGAACTGAATAGGCTGACCCACACATGGATACGCCGTGGACTGCACACACCCAGGGAAGACACGAAGCTCTGGTACCAGGCACGCAGTTCGGTGCACAGGCGACGCAGGGGCAGGAAGGGCGCCGGGGGCAGCCCTGGTCTGTGTGGACAGTTTTAGGCACGTGCTTTATAATACTTCATGGACATCTAAAGGTTAACAAAATATATATTATATAAATATATCTCCTACTGTACATGTTGCCCTCTCATATGACTTCATGCCCCACACTCGACCAGAAGAGTGCCAGGTTGGACTGCGATGCCCGGTCTCCTCCCCCTGATGCCCTGACCCTAGCCTCTCCACAATGGGGGAATGACGGAGGATGGCCAGCAACACTGCTTCTGTGAGCTCAGTTTCCAGAAAGGTTGATGATGACGAACAGCCATATGCAGCTAGCCAATGCCTACTCAGGTGGGTACACGCAGCAAATGGACAGAAAGAAAGGAAAAAAAAAAAACGGAGAAAATCCTCCATCTTTTAACGTAATAACTTTCCACCCTCTCCATGCGGAGGCGCAAAGGAGCTTGTCTGGGAAGTTTGCCTGGAGTGTGCAGGAAGGTCAGGTTGGACTAGCCACGCCCTGAGACCACGCTAAATCTCTGTAAGTTACTGTCTCTGACCTGTACGGTAGCCTGAAAGATAAAGCAGAGCTGGTTAAACCCCACTCTCCTTCCTGTCTCTGTCCTCCCCCGCAATCCCTGCCTCCTGTGAGGCAGGAGGGGCGGGGCAGAGCACTTCTGTGGCGACCCCCACTGCAGCAGGGCTAGCAGGGTGGCCCAGGCCAACGGAGACCTGCACTGTACCGGGAGAGGCAGGTCACTGGGATCCCACTGCCTGGGGACTACGAATCCAGCGTCTGAGTGTGGACTATCGAGCTGTCCAGGTTCACCAACTCCAGATTCCTCCCCCAACCCATGTGGCCTTGACCCAGGCTCACGTTTACATCGCTGAGGTGAAAACATCACGGGATACTCAAGGCCTTGGGGCCGAGACCAACAGTGGCTCATTCAAGGTGGGACTGGAAGGTATCACTGTTTCAGCTGAAGAAAACAGGACTCAGCAGGCTGGCTATAGGTTTCCCACTACCTGGTGACATCCATGGCCGGATGTGGCCAAAGACGCTTCCGAGTGGTGGACAAGACATCTCAGCGACAGCGAACTGGGTGGTGCGTTTCCCTCTAAGTCCTGCTTTCATTTACACAGTCACACAGAAGAAATAACCCCGTTGCCCAAATCAAGCTTGGAGATGTGTTACTATATACATTTTTTTCTTTCCTTAAAAATTTTTCTTTTTTTTTGTTTTTTTGTTTTGTTTTGTTGTTTTGTTTTTCTTAAAAAAAAAAAAAAGCCTTTGAGTTGCAGGTCAGGTGAGTTGGTTCTGGAAGTACTGGTAGTTCTGTTGGTATGAGACTTGTCTACGGGCAGGTAAACCCAAGTTTGCCGACAAAGGCGAGAACCAAAGCGGCCAGCTGCTGATGCTGCACAGGCGGCTGAGGAGGAGGACACCGTGGACATGGGCGAAGTCTGCATGGGACACTGCAGTGGGCACCTGCTGCTGCTCTAACACGGGCGTTGGTGGCACCTCTCGAAAGAGCGAGGTGAGTGGGTACACTATACAGGGCTGTACAAACTGGGCACGGACAGGTGGTTCCTCTGGTGGTGAAGGTGGCTCTACCTGTCCTTGAGCTCTCGTGTCACTCGCTTGGTGATACGTCCACACATCAGGCCAATCAGGAACAGTATACAGATGCTCCCGCTGATCACTGAGAGAATATAGTTCTTTGATGGGGATGTCATTACTTGCATGGCGAGATCAGAAAAGCCATCAGCCGGGGCCACCTGAAACGACACGCAATGTGATTCTTTCTGAGAGACCTGGGCTGGTGGCAGTGCTAGGTCTAACGTGTGCCCCTCGACTCCTAATTTAATTAATGTCTTTTATCTTGGGGAGGAAGGGAGGAGTAACTGAAAACTGACATAGAGCTCCAACCCTTTCCTGATCAGAAAACCGCGTTATGACTGTATGCCTGCACAAATTTAGAAATACAGCAAGGGGACTGGCAGTTAGCACAATGGCTATGTCGCTGGACTCCCATGTAGTCGACCCAGCTCGAGTCCCGGACCCGGTGGCTTAAACTCACACCGGGCGTGGGTGCGTGCGAGCCCAAGATCCCAAGAAGATAATGGGGGAGAAGGGATTGTGGTGTGGCCATCCCCCCAGGGGTGATTTCTTGCTTTCTGTTTCTCTGTCTCTTTCTGGCGAATGCACACGCCCTAAAGCAAAAACCTCTCTGAAAAAAAAAGAGAAATACAGCAAGATAAAAAGAGGTGCAGCCCCCGGAACTCCTGATGGTGATCACAATGGTTAATACATAACACCGAGGGCTGGACGATGGCAGGGCCTAGACAAAGGGCTCCACGTGCTTCCCTTGCTCAGTGCTCACCCCACTCCAAGCAGGCAGTCCCACTGCTCCCACACAGCAGATGAAGGCCCAGTGGCCTGGGGTGTGGGGGTTAAATGACTTGCACAAGGCCACTTGTTTTGATTTATGCTCTTCATTTTGTTTGCTGTGTTTTTAAACAATGCATTGGAAAGTTGGGATTGTGTAGTATGTTAATTCTACATCATCTTTCTTTTTTTCTTTTGAGAGGTTTTTGCTATAGGGCTTGTGCGCTCGCCAGACAGAGACAGAGAGACAGAAAGCGAGAAATCACCCCCCAGGGGGGATGGCCATGCTGCGATCCCTTCTCGTCCATTCTCCTCTTGGGATCTTGGGCATGCACGCACACGTGCCTGGTGTGTTTTACGTCACTGGGTCCAGGATGCGAACTGTGGTCGACTACATGGGAGTCCAGCGACATAGCCATTATGCTAACTGCTGGTCCCTTAATTCCACATCTTGATGAGAGATGGGATGTGGGGGTGGAAGGTAGGAAGAGGGTATTTCTGACAGGGTCTTGCAGTGTTGCAGTCCTTATGCCCCAGTCTCCCAGTGAGGGCCACAGGTGTGCACTGCTATTCCTGGCCTGTTTGGGTCAGGCCAGAACCCGAATCTGGGCCTCTCGTGCGGCCCCAGGCTCCTTGCAGCAGTGCCTTCCCGCTTGTGCCACTGTGACTGAGTTCGACTTTTTCACTTCTTGCCTCACAAGCATTCCTCATGGCGAAAACAACGTGCAATCATGACTTAAAATGATGGGGTATACTTAACCCCTCTCCAATTATGGATTTTACAGTTTAATTGGTTTTCATCCTCTTTTTTCCATTATTCTTTTTAAAAATTATTTTATTATTTTACTCATTATTATTAATTTTTAATTTGCTATGAGGCACATGCAGTCACCAGTGAGACAGAGAATGAAAGAAGGAAAGTGAAAAAGCAAGAAACCAGGTCCGGAACTTGAACTGTGATCAGCCATGTGGGAGTCTAGACCTTAACCACCATGCCACTTGCTGGCCCCTCCACTGCTTTCTCTAAAGGACCTCTCTGGTAGCCTGCTGTGGCAGAATCAGGACCAAGGAGTTTCCTAGTTGCACACGTACCTGCTCTTTTGAGTCTCAGGCAGGGAGGGGTCTGGCCCAGAAATGTCTGGGCTGCTTCTAGGCTCACCCCATGCACAAAGAACAGAGCAAGGAGATGTGAGCTTATGAGATTTGGGCACCAACATTTGCCAACACAAAACAAGCAGTGATGCACTATGAACTCTGAGAAGCGGCTGAGGAGCAGCAACCCACGAGGGAGGAACAGACTAGGGCAGCCCTCTCTGCTGCTTCATCTAGCTGAGGGCTTCAAAAATGTCTCCCTTGGGAGGAGGGGTTAGAGGAGCACTGCCTATTGTGACAAACAGAGTCCCTCCCTGCATTCCTCCTGGCCATTACCCTTGACCTTGAAGCACCTGGGTGACAGAAGAACTGGGCAAGAAGGAGGGGCGTTCCTGTGGCTCTCGATGTAAGGACATTGGGAATGTACAGCGCAGGCTGAGAAGCACTCTCTGCAGTCGGTTTCCTCCACCACAAAGTGGGAAGAGAAACATTCCGCGTGCCTCCTAGGACTTCAAGGTTCAAATGGGGTGCTATATTCCTCAGAGGTTTCATAAACCACAAGGCCACGCACACTTGAGAACTACTACTCTTCTCACGGAGGCCGAACTTTTGTAGGAAAAATCTCCCCAGCCCAAGTCTGACTGGGTACCACACACAGAGGCGCCAGCGTCCTACGGCTGCTCTTCTCCTATTCTGTGTGCTCCAGGCCATTTGGGTGCTGGTCTCCCATACACACTGTCTTCTGCCCAAATCACAAGACAGCTTTACAACAGGCAAAGCTCTATTTCTTTCCCTTGCCATGGGCAAGATGTCTCTTTTCTCTTTGGGTGCCTGACTTTTGGGTGAGGGGCTATGGCAACCGAGGGCAAAGCCTTGCAGACACAGGCCGATGTAAAGGCAGAGAGGCGCTCTAGGTTTGGGATGGCGAAGGAGCTTTAAAGGAGCACGTCTGCGAAAACGCTGCTAGGCCCCAGGAAGGACAGTGGAGACTCAGAGAGACGGTGGCTGTGCTAGGAGGGCCTCCTGGTCACTACCTTTGCTGCATAACTCCACATTTCAATCCGGTCGTTGAGGCGCTTTTTGCACTCCGGCTGTAACCTCACCCGCTTATCCTCCAGGGCCTCCATGAGGCAGGACATTTCTGTGGGAAGAAATGGTAAGAGGAGTCTGAAGCTCTACAGAACAGAGAGAGTTCTGTAAGGCTGGGAAGAAGGGCTGAAAAGGACACCCACCACCAGCTTCAGAGCTGCACACTCAAATCCATTCTATTCAAGATCTGCCATGAGAGGAATGACATTTAACTCCCAGGGCTGGCTGTGCAGTCTCTCTCCAAATCTCATCTGAACTGAGCAGGCACGGCTTGGAAACAGCTATTACCTCTGCCCTGGCTCCAGCCTCACATAGAACTCATCTGCTGAGCCGTCTGTGGCCACTGCGGAAGCTGATGAAGCTGTTTCATTTTGGGAAAGGGGAGAAGAGGGCTATGGTGATGACTTAACTTTCCAGTCCCTGATAAATAACACACTCTCCTCTTTCATCAGATCTCTTGCTCTGGTCATGGCCAGGTTGGTTCGACCCTGCAGGATAGTGCCTATGTTTGTTACGCACAAAGACCTCGTTTCAGTAACAGGTCTCCAGGGGATGCTGTCTACGGCTGGGGCTGTGGCTACAGAACAGGGCAGCTACTGCTGGTGGTTAAGGGGGGTCTTTGCCCCTCCCAATATAGCTTGGGCAGGGTCAGAGTGACACAGTGACTTACGACGCCCTCGTCCAGGGGTGATGGCTGCACAGTGGTGTTTAATGTCCAGGGCACAGGCTGTGTGAAGAACTGGGTCCACAAAGATGTCAGCTTTGCTTTCCTTCAGCATGTTCAGCACTTCCTGGAAAGAAAAGGTGATTATGTAGAGAGCTTGTGTAGACGAAGTAAATCAGTTCTGTTGTCTGTAATTACTTTGTACACAAATAAGTCAAGGAGGGAGGGTTGAGAGTTAGCCCAGAGACTACTCTGGGATCCACAGCAATCTGGTAATAATAGACAGAATGTAGATTTTCTGGCATCCAATTTCATTCAATACTACTTCTTAGGGATCTAGCTTTTTCTTTTTCTTTTTTTTTTTCCCGAGAGATTTTTGCTATAGGATACATGTGCTTGCCTGAGAAACAGAAAGAGAGATAGAAAGTGAGAAATCACTCCCCGGGGGATGGTCACACCACAATCCCTTCTCCTCCACTCTCCTCTCGGGATCTTGGGCACGCACAGACATGTGCCCGGTGTGAGTTTTAAGTTGCCAGGTCCAGGACTAGACCCATGGTTGACTGCATTGGGGTCCAGTGACATAACCATTACACCATCTGCAGGTCTCCCTCTCTTAGGGATCTAGTGTATGCAAAGGTACATGCAAAAGCAAGCAGGGGACTATAAGTACTTATAAGTCAGATTTGGGTTTTTGGCATTCTGGTATGCCATACTATTTTTCCGTTTTTCTTTTAATTGCCAGGGGGCATGTGCACATGTGACTGCAAGAGAGAACACCTCCCAAGAGAGGATGGCCATGCCTCATCCTTTCCCTCCATTTCTCCATCCTATCAGGATTTTGGTGCACACATGCGCATGTCCCTGACACATTTTTCTTTTCTTCTTCTTCTTTTCAACAGAGGAAGAGCAGGTTTTACTTAACAACCAAGTAACATTAAGAATCTCAGATTAGAAAGCAACCAGGTGTTGGGGCCAGCAGGTGGCATGTGGTTAAGGGCGCTGGACTCCCACACAGCTGACCACGGTTTGAGTCCCAGACCTGGTGACTAGCTCTCTCGCCCCTCCCCCTTTCCCCCCACTCTCTTGCTCTGTCCCTCTCTGGTCAAATTAAAATAAACTATGTGGGAGTCCAGCAATGTAACCATTAGGCCACCTGCTAGTCCCAACATTATTTTAAGAACTCTGGAAAAAATGTGAAATCTGAAACTCAGAGTAATATGCTCTATTAGTATTTCCAATCAAATAATGGTATATTTATTACATGATACTCCACTTTGCCTCCATCATCCTCAAAAGACAAAAAAAAGAACAGAATATAACTTCTGCTGCTTGTTTGAATATGCTCTGAAGAAGGGAAACTCTACCATCTCTCTCTCTCTCTCTCTTTTTTTTTTTTTAAGAGGTTTTTGCTAGAGGGTGTGTGTGCTCGCCAGAAAGAGAGACAGAAAGCAAGAAATCATCCCCCGGGGGGATGGCCACACTGCAATCCCTTCTCCTCCACTCTCCTCTCGGGATCTTGGGCACACACGCACATGCCTAGTTTGAGTTCAAGTCACAGGGTTTAGTACTTGAATCACGGTTGACTACATGGGAGTCCAGTGACACAGTCATTACGCCAACTGCTGGTCCCAATCATCTAATTTTTTAATACTGCAAGATAATGTATGCTTAGCAGTGGTATTTTGGAAAATTTTGTTTTATGTGATGTTTCTGAAATGAACCATATTTTAAATTTCACTGATATTTTTGAATGTGCAGTTCTGACCCACTGGTGTAGACACTGCTTCAGTGCTGCACTCACAGTGCCTGTAACCTATGGTCTAGTCGCAGGGATGAGACATATTCACAAGTGATGGAGACACATGAAAAAATATTCCAGTGACAGTAAACCACGACTGAGTGAACAAAACAGACACCACCAGTCTTCCAATGTGGTGTTCTTTGCTGAAAACGGCACATAGGGTCTTATCCCTAAAGGACTGTTGCACACTGCACGCGTGCTTTGAAAATCCATGTTGTGCTCCATGAAGATGCACAGCAATTAAGCATACATGAAGGATAAATAAAACAAAATAGAAAAAAGGAGAAAAAGAGTGTTAGAGTTATGGGAGATTAATGGTAAAGGAAAAATGATAGGGCTTGGTAAGGAGGCCCAGCACAGAATGTGGGCAGGAAGGTTCGGTTCTGGTCTTGCTGGTCAGGTGTGCAGACTGTGCAGCAGCACAAGGATGAGAAAGCGAGGAACTGGCGATGTTACCTTCTTACATATTTCTGTCTTAATCTTGAGCAGGTTGACTTTGAGGCACTCCTCCACTTGGCCTGTCTGCTCCTGGGCCGCTGCCTCCTCAGCACACAGATTGGAGATCTGTTCAAGACACACAAAAACCTTGAGTAGCCCCTGAGCACAGACACAAGCAAACTTTCAAAAGCAGCTGAGTTGGGTGATTTCGAGCAGTGTTTGTGCTCCCTCCCTGCTGGCCCACTGCTACTGCAGGGCGAGGGGAAATGCCACCACCAGAAACTGGGGTCCTGCATATGTGGACCGGGTGACCCTCCTACATGCCCAGCAGGCATCTCCAACAGCTTCCCGGTGATTTCACGTCCCTCCTACACTGGGTGTGAGGCTCCACTGTCCTCTGCATGAACAGCACGCAGAGCTGGGGACCACCACAGTGACCAGCGCGCAGAGCTGGGGACCAGCAAGTACACCCTCTTTATGCTGCCAACCCGGAGAGTGGAGCCAGACTGTCCCAGGACTTGTCATGAAGACTACTCCCTGATGTCGCAGAAGGAAGGTTACCTGGCCAAGTGAGGTCCTAAAAGCAAATGCTGAACGTTTATAGAGGTCCAGGGTCAACCCAGCCTCACAACTTGAGCACACACACACGAAGGAGTTCTGAAACTCAGCCCCTAACAGAGATAAAACCTCTAACTTCCTTGGACATTTTTATAAGTATGCGTTTTTGGAATACTGGTAGCTGTGATGATCTCCTAAAATTGATGTGTGTTGAACATGGTTCTCTGTGTGACCTTTTCTAGCTAGGAAGTCAAGTAATTTCCAAGGACAGGCACTTCTTTAGGGTTCTTGTGGAGGCACTTTTATGTTTCTGGCAAGTCTTGCAGTGTTCAAAGTCATAGAAAATGAGAAGGGGGGCTGGCAGGTGGTGTGGTGGTTAAGGGTGCTGGACTCCCACACGGGCAACCACAGTTCAAATCTCGGACCTGGCAGCTTGCTTTCTCACTTTCCTTCTCTCTCGCTTGCTCTCCCTCTGCCCCTCTCTGGTTGGTCAAACTAAAAAATACGTAAATAAATAAATAAAGTTAAATAAAATAATTCTTTAAAAAAAAAAAAAGGAAATGAGAAGGGAAGCACAAATTACATGGAGATAGGTATAATACAAGAGCACTCTTGATCAACAGAGAAATACGAAACTAGCACTGTAAGTGACAGGACTATGGCCCTGACGCAGTTTTCTTTTCTTTTCTTCTTTTTTTTTTTTTTGGAGAGGTTTTTGCTTTAGGGCGCGTGTGCTCTCCAGAAAGACAGAGAGAGACAGAGAGATAAAAAGCGAGAAATCACCCCCACAAGGGGGATGGCCGCGCCGCAATCCCTTCTCCTTCATTGTCTTCTCAGGATCTTGGGCACACATGCACACGTACCTGGCGTGAGTTTAAGCCACTGGGTCCAGGACTCGAACTGCGGTCAGCTACACGGGAGTTCAGTGACACAGCCATTACGCTGCTAGTCCCTCTTTTTTTTTAAAGAGAAATTTTTGCTGGGACCAGCAGGTGGCATGGTGGTTAAGGTGCTGGACACTCCCTCATGGCTGACCATGGTTCGAGTCCCGGACCTGGTGGCCTGCCTTCTCACTTTCCCTCCCTCTCTTTCTTTTTTTTTTTT